CATTTGCAGAAACTTCATGATGCTTCATCATAGCGAGCTCTCTGCAGGCAAAGCATGGTAAAGCTGTGACATGTCCATCTGGTCAATCCCACGAGCCTGATTGAACATGGCCGCAAAGCCCTGCCCTGAACAGCTGTGAGTTCCACTTCGATCAATAAATCTCCCCATTCATGGCAATTCATGCTCGAAGGAACTGTGCAAGCAAACATCGGCCTTTTCAAGACAATCCGGGCATGCCAATCTCGCAGTCTACACCGATGGATGTCACCGCAAATCACATTTAACTTGTACCACCAGTAAAACTTGACCCACAGGTGAACATGTGCTTGAAGGAAGGTCTGCTTGAAGAGCAACCTCACTCAAACGTGAAATGGACGAGAGCTTGCAGTGAGGCGCTGATCTGAAATAGAAGAATCTACAGTAATTCTCTTGGCTATCTGACTATGTGCTGCTGCTTTTCTTGTCCGCATGTTGGAGGTTCCCACCAGTGAAACCTCTTCATTCATTTCAGGCCATTCATTTCAAGCACTTGAGCAAAGCAAGTCGTGCATTTGTCAAGCTTGGAATCAACATCTCAAGCTGCTCATTCAACAAACTCCTATCGACTTCGGGAAGTCCTTCAAACAAGCCTTCTGATCGGAAAAAAGGCGGCACTTTTGTATCCGCTGGGCTGATCAAAGCGGGAGCGTTCACTCTGGACGCTTCGGCTGAAAGCAATTAAATTAGATCTATTCAATTTATTAAATCATATCTTTTTGCTGTGCAATATGATGAAATCAAGTCATTGTATGGAATCATCTACTGGATTTTTACTATCCAGCTTCAGCCTTGCACATCCGAGGAGCCATTTATTAGCCATTCCAGAACTTATGCTCTGAGCTTGCATTGAGCCGAAAGCTCATGCTCCGAGCTTATGATCTGAGAAAACTTCGAGCTGGATTGATTCCGGATCCAATGCGGCCTACGAACATGCTTTAACCTTTCGAAAGAAACAACACAGTTTGTCTTCCATATCTTGCCTTATCACAGCTCACAAAGTGTAGGCCCTGTAGGCTTGTAGCTTCTGTGGCACTTCTACGTATGACTTGTCTGTGCCTTTGGCATCGAGACGGAACGAATTCGACTGAGGAAGTCACAAACGAGTCTCGCGGTCGCCTGTCAAACTGTCTCAGTGCCCTCACCAGCCTGGACCTCAAAAGAAGAAACCGTCAGAGTCTTTGCACCGGTGGAGAATCATCTTCCTGCGAGACCATCAGCCCTGATGGCATCTGAACATTGTTTTGCCTAGGAAACAAAACGAAAATACCAAGGAAAGAGAGAAGGTAAGGGCCCCTTTAATAAGGCCGCCTTCATCGGCCTTCAAAGGGGCCTTATTGAAGCGCCCCTTACCTTTTCATGGTCCTTTCTTTCTTGTGTTTTTTATCTTTCTTCGCTGTCTTGATGGACAACTCACATTGAATCCACTCCATGTGTGGCCCGCAAAGCTGCCTGCCACCTGGGAAGAGCTTTGCCATAGCCAAGCGCTGGTCGGCGCAAGAGCCAGACTCCACAAAGATCTTCAAACGCTTGGACTCACAGGTCAACGAGCGAAACGCCGAAAGCATCCAAAAGCCTGCGGATTCATCCTATTCCCGTAATTGATCATTCTGGTTTCTAGGGAGGGATAATCCAAAACCTCACAGATGTGACTGACCACTTCGCTTGGGCATGCTTAGTCAAACACCCGCCTCATCCATCATGACCTTGGCACAAAGTGTGTCCAACGATATCTAATGTCAACTTCTTTCCCGTCTCACTCACTTCAAACTGCCAAGGAACGTGGGGAATGGAGTCGTCTGGAATGCTCTGAGAATGTCTCGAAACTCTGGCCGATCTTGCAGCCTCACACGAACGAACTGAACTCATTGAAATCCTGATCGTGCTGTCGCAGTTGACGAACATACTGTCTCTTCCAGTTGATCTTGGAACACAAAACAATCGTCTTTCTTAGTTTGGTCTATTTTGCAGCATGTACTATGTTTACAAAAAAGACAGAAGAAACAAACCATGGGGAAGTGAACTGGATGGGGAATGCTCCGAACCACACAGCGCAGCCAAAGCTCTAAAGCAAGTCCGAGGGCTTCCAGATCTTCTTTGGCTGTATCCGGTGCTGGCAGCATCTCGGAATACCACCTCCAACCGCTTCAACTCAAGTTGCAAAGGCTTTTCCAATGCTCAAACAAGTTGTAAGAGATGCAAGCTGAATGAACTTCAAGAAGGGTTCTCAAAGGATAGAATGTAGAAGTAAGGCTCGAACCTCTCACCAGTCGGCAACTGCTTACACTCTCCTTGATCGGGAGACACTCCAAGAACCACTGTTGCTGAATCACCTAAGACAAAGGCAACTCCAAGCTGCGAAAAGACACAATGCACGCCCACAAACAAACAATGATTCATGATGATACACGAAAAGGGCAACAAACGCATGTGCAGAGCGAACTCACTAAATCAATTCTGCACTTGATGCAGACTCTGCAGACGCGGAGCATGGAGGGTTGCCTTAGCAGAGCGAAGAACCAGTTATTTCAGCCTTGAGCCTTCTTGGTCAAGAAAACGTTCATGAAATTATGTTACATTTTGGCGGCCACAGAGTTCAAAAGTGCGTTCAAAGACGTTGTGACACGCGTGGCGGTTCGCTCTTCGGTTCGAAGGAACTGACCTTCCGACCTTCCACTCCAAGCCGCTTGGAAGGTCGACCTCGGTGGGTTTGATGCTCTCCTCGGTTGCAAATCCGACACGAAGCGGTCTCCTCTCTACGGATCGCGTCGTAAGCTAAGACCGGGGAGCCAAGGGTAGAGTGAAACGAACCAACCTAAAAAGAATGGCCTCCAACCGAATAGCAATAGCCTCCAACCTAATAGCGATGGCCTCCAACCTGATGGCAAAGGCCTCCAACCTAATAGCGAAGGCCTCCAACCTGATAGCGATGGGCTCCAACCTAATAGCGATGGCCTCCAACCTGATAGCGATGGCCTCCAACCTAATAGCGATGGCCTCCAACCTGATAGCAAAGGCCCCCAACCTAATAGCGATGGCCTCCAACCTAATAGCGATGGCCTCCAACCTACTAGCGATGGGCTCCAACCTAATAGCAATGGGCTCCAACCTAATAGCAATGGCCTCCAACCTGATAGCGATGGCCTCCAACCTAATAGCAATGGCCTCCAACCTGATAGGGATGGCCTCCAACCTGATAGCGATGGCCTCCAACCTAATAGCAATGGCCTCCAACCTAATAGCGATGGCCTCCAACCTGATAGCAAAGGCCTCCAACCTAATAGCAATGGCCTCCACCCTAGTAGCGATGGCAATGTGCTACAAGCTTTTGAAAAAGATAGATCGGTCTGACGTTCTAGTTGTCTCAGAAGCGGTAAGAAGACTCAAAGGAAGATAAAGAAAGATAAAGAAAACAAATGAAAACAGAAAGCTGGAGGAAACAGCAAGTCTCGAATCTTCAGCCCTCTACACTCTTCTACCACATCAAAATGTTCGGCCAGGACTTAATTCGAGAATCCTCGCAGTCCATGAGTTGGAGCGTTGTGCCGGCGGCAAACCTGGAAACACGCTGACGTTTGCCACTACATCTGTAATGTCTTGCTTGTTTGACGAAAAAGGCGGTGTTGGCCAGGAGACAAGTAATTGAACTGTTGAATCGCTGGCTCCAATCCGAGGCCTCAGGCCATGTTCGTGCCGAGTTCCATACGAACATGAATTGAACATGACAAGAACTGGCCTCAAGCGTATAAGCCCAAAACATGCTAGTACAGCAAATGATCTTTTTGTGGCTTCAAAATGTTTCAAGTCTCACATCCCCAACGCTGCCAAAACGCACGTGTGGATCGCTTCGCCCAGGGAAGGTGCCAACAGCAGAGACTCACCTGGGTGGCATTGTACCACTCGAGACAAGGTCCCATTGCTGACAAACACGTTACATCCGCATCAAAATGCCTTTACACTCGCTGGTTGTACATTGAAAATACCTGCCTGGCCTGCACCGGCAACTTTCCACACCACCTTCACTCCAAAGCGTTTTCCTTAGCAGCTTGAAAGCTGGTGTCCCTGTTTGACACCAAAACTGCAGCCATCAACTGGATGAACTTCCAGCCTCCTGCCACCAGCAAAAGGTTCTTGCCGCTCATACCACCATTCCACACAGCTGTGGGTTCCAAAGGAACCAGCATCCTGGAGAAAAGTAAACGACTTGCAGCAGCTAGAAGTTTTGACTCGCATGTGTTTTCAGATAGACTCCCCATGGGAAGACTGTGCATTATCTGAATCTTCTCCAAGTATCCTCAATTAATCAGTCCATTCCTTTCCAGCTGTTTAACAAGCCCCCTATGTCTTAAGTCAAGAATGCCTTGCCCTGCTCTGTTTTTGGCTGCGTGACCCCTTACTTCTGCGAAAACGCACAAGAGCAAAGACCTCTACACTATATTATTAGTAGCAATGGCCTCCAACCTGATAGCGATGGCCTCCAGCCTAACAGCGATGGCCTCCACCCCAGTAGCGATGGCCTCTACCCTGAGCGATGGCCTCTACCCTAAGAGCGATGGACGGCCTCCACCCTAATAGCGATGGCCTCCCACCAAGCAATGGCCTCTACACTAACTAATCCCGAGTTCCTATTAATAGACACTCCCCAATTAAAAACCACCACGTCCGAACCCTAAATTCGGTTTTTATTTGGCTTTAAATTGCCGCCCTTTCAAACCGCTACTAAACTACCAACATGGTCGATTTTGGGGGTAGTTTTTTTAATTAGGTTCCCCAAAACTCCACCATGACACGCCGCGCTTACACCAGCAGGCTTTCCTTCCCTCAATGGCACGGACTCACGCAAACGCACTTGCCACCGAGGTCATGCAACACCGCATGGCACAGCGACATCACCTTTCGAAAGCTTTAGCTGTTAGTCTACTGAAGAATCACTATTCTAATGAAGGTTTTTGTAGGGGAAAAGGAAGACCCTTCCATCTGGCGGTTTTTTGCACTTTTGATACGAGTTTAAAAAAGGATTTTATATAAAATTTTCCTGGATTACTTTTTGGTTTTGAAACTCTTTCCAGGTGACCCTATTTTGGGCCCCCGCGATTTCAGGGACCCCCTATTAGAAAAAATGCGACCGAGGTTTTTTTAATGGGGGGGGGGGGCCGTGTTTATTAATAGGAGGATGGGATTAGTAGCAATGGCCTCCAACCTGATAGCGATGGCCTCCAACCTGATAGCGATGGCCTCCAACCTGATAGCGATGGCCTCCAACCTAACAGCGATGGCCTCCACC